CTCCAACTATCTGAGATGAGAAACAGGGACACGTTTGGCGCAAACTATGTAGGCAAAGGACACACCCCTGCCATGCCACCAATTATGCAAACCATGAAGAATGAACACAAAAATGATTGTTTAAACCCACAAATGCTTTTTTTTCCACCACTACTTTTCCTTCATGCTGGCTTTTTAAAATATAAAATGCAATGGATGGACCAGTTTCCTTTAGTTTAATGCTCTTGGTAGTTAAATAGTACATTCTTGTAGACCAAAAAGAAGGACAATTTAAGGGGAAGAGGTATAGAAGGATTTGGTTCCAAAAGAGGGACGGTCCCTTTAAATAAGAGCAGCTGGGAGCCATGGAAGAAGCTAATGGGGAGCTCCTCAGATAAATGTATCAAAAGGCAGGAAGCAAAATGTAGAAAGCAGGTATGATTGTGTTTATAGCCTATGGAAGAGATGGCACATCACGTATAATACTTATCACTTTGAACCAACTCCAGGAAATATTGTATTATCAGAAACACTGCCCATAATGGACAGCACACCACTTGAGCAGCTGTGTGGAGACAACTCATAATAATCTTCATTCGTTATAGAAATGAAACATAAACAGATGAGCACAATTAACTATGGGGTATGCACAACTGCTGTACCTCTTCATGGAATGAAGTTGAGTTGAAGTCAACTTCAGGCAAAGTTGCCTATATCTGAATTTATAAGGCAACACGCAGTGTATGAAGTTTGGTAACCTATAATAACCTGTTGCATTTGGTCTTTCATTGATCAGATATAAGTAGAGTAAAATTGTTTATCGTTTGATATGAGGTACTCCAAGTATAACATCACTACTGCCTACCTGAACATAGCTCACAGGTTGGCACAGTTCGATCTCTACGATATCTCTTAGATGACAGATGGTCATTTATCAGATACTATATGTATATAAGTGCTAACAATGTATAAAACCGTAGAGAAGATTTGGGGTGGCTCATTTAAAATTAAGTGCCCATTGTATCTATGACAAGAGTCAAGATGGATTTTAAAGATGACACCAATTCCAATTTAAAATTAATGGAACAAAAAAATCAATTCAACAAAAAAACTATAAAAAAAAAAGTTAGCATTTATGCATTTGGCCTGGTTTACAAAGTGTCTAGGCAGTCAAAGAAAACATACTGTATATTAACGCTGGACGCCAGGCATATATTATTAAAAACTTAACACACATACACCTGTACTAACTATGGGTGTGGGAACATATGTCATACATCTGGCTTAATGTAGACAACAAAGAAAAAGTCTACAAAAAAAAAATGAACACAGTTGTGTATTCCTTTAAACATAATTCAGTGTATTCTATTTGAAACTAATATAAGTATCTGCATTTATCTTGCTATCAGTGCTCTGTAATGGCCTGCACAGCAGGACAAGGAGAGGAAGTGTCAGCATTAGGGATCAATGTGACTCTGGCTCATGGCTGCAATGCACATGTTTTGACAGGAAAATGCAGCTCCTTCACTGTCCAGTCAGCAGGCTGTGGACAAGGATGTGACACTCTATTGATTAACTCTAACAGAGAACACATTGTCACCCCAGTGGATGGTCAGGCATGGGCGCCTTCAATGGGTCATGGATGGCCTCCCAAACTACCCATGTTATAATTCGCCAGTGTGTCTGTGAGGTCCGCCATAGGTGTATAAACCACAAAAGTAGGTGAGCAGAATTACAAATCCATAGTCAGATTAGCCAGTTCACCCATGTGTATTTCAGTTGTGTAATAGGCTGTTTTGCTGGAGTTCAGCTTTAAGCAGTTTTAATACCTACAATAAGCTGGTTTAGAAAAAATACTAACTTTATTCATAGGAATCTTGCTGTAACTGCACCCTGATGTAGCACGATAGACAACTTACATTATGCTAAATTCATGACAACTGTCTTTGGGGCAAAAAGAAAAAAATCAGTAGGGAACAAGGTCCTATAAACAGTGAACAACACTTTAAAGACCTTTATATTCAGAGATTTTTAGTGTTTTTGTGAAACGTGAGGTCCAATCAGAAAATGTTTCTGTTTGTTTTCAGGAAACAAGATTTTTTCTGCTCACAAGATTTTTTAAATGGTTATTTAGTCATGAATGTATTTTTGCCTCATCAAAATAGAGTCTTAAACACCCTGAAAAATGATACATTACCCTATATAAAAACATTTTTTTTTTAATCCAGGTAAAAGGTAGGCTGGCATTCCCTACTTATAGCTAACCCAGACTGGCCCCATTGCCAAGAGTCCCCAAGAAGCCAGATTGAGATTTCACCTGCATCTGCTTAAAACGGGAATATTGTGGGGAGGAAGAGGGACTGCCCCTTTAAATATGCGTCTCAAAGTGCCCTGGTGCCATGCAGTTGTCTGGCCCTTTTCTACAGGAATGAGCAAAGAGAAGCAATATTTAAATACTCAAAAACTGCTTTGCCATTTAAGCTTTATCCATTGATGAAGAATAACTGAAACTGAAAAAGTGATAGCAATGAGCTTCTACTCCATTCATGAGGCTCAGACTGGTCACATGACATCTCTGGCAATTGTACACCAGCCCACAGACTAACACATACCTACGGTGGATCTGAGAGTTACTTTGTTGACCCTGTGGATGTCGCAGCATCATGCTGGCCTGTTTTCATAAAATATTAAACTTTCCTGCAACCTACACACATTTTATGATACTGAACAAAGTCAGCAGAGTTCACTTTGAACAAAATACGTTGCATCAAAAAGGAATGTGAATAAAGGAAATACGTTTAGTCCACTGCAAAGATGAGGCCTGGCATTGTTTATATACAGTATAACACAGCCCAGCACTGCCTTTCTTATATCTATTCATAAAACTAGTCCTGCAAATGTCTAAGCATAGTGCAATACCCAAATATAAAAAAAACACAACAAGGTATGAAATACTAATTGAATTTCGAAAACGGTTCCCTTGAATAAAATACAATCACTTTCTTTCACAATTCCAAAAAACAGGACTTTTTTTGTATTCAAAATAAAATCCTTTTCTCCGATCTTCATTGAAGCACACAGCATAATATTTAGTACGTGTGGGTTATATTGCCGCATACAGGATCTAGTATAACCCACACATCATTAATATTGTGATGTATCCCTCAATGAACTTTGGAGAAATAGCTATTTAACAATTACTCATGCAGACCAATGGTTTAAAAATAAGCCTAACCCACGCCACCCCAGAATTCTAAAGTATTAGTTACTGACAGATGTTGTATCATGTACAAAAGAATCCGCCGCTCCAGGCTCCCTCCGGAATTAGATCACATAGTTTCTTCTGAAGTGTGACATTTAGGTGGAAATGGATAAACAGCAAGGTTGGCATGAACACTGATTTTACCCCACAGCAGACACCAAGAGGTTCAAATATAAAAGTTCTTCCAGGCATATGAATAGGCGTATGCTGTTCGCACCACACAAGCGTCCCTACATAGCGCTGATGAGCATAGGAATTTCCTTTTAAATTAACTTTTATAAATTAAATCCAAATGTCCTGTTACCAGTGGAAGCCAGGAGCAGGAATGTCTACAGCTGAGAATGTAACAACTCCCAACTTTGCAGTGCAGAGGTAAAATAGGCTTATATTAAGATGACAGGTCAGCTTTAAGTACTGAGTTAAAGCTCAGATACAAATGACTTTGTAATATTTCAAAAAAATATTTAAAAAGACATATATTTAAAGTAGAGTTGCACAGATACCAACTACAGTACTCGGTACAAGTACGAGTACATGTACCGATACTTTTGAGCTCCAAGACTAGACTAGAGAAAAATTCAAAAGTTAGGAGGCAGTTGTCATTTGTAAGGAGCACACGGAGCTCCCTGGATTAATACATCTCTGTTTTAATGTACGATTTTGTTTTTATACATATAAATAAAGGGATGCACAGATACCAGTTTTGCGAGTACGAGTAACTGGTACTTGCCGAGTACTTACAAGTACGAGTACTGACACATTTTTGTTTATTGTCATGTGACAGTTTTTCTAAAACAATACAGACTAATGATTTCAGGACAGTGGGGGAGTGCCAGAGCCAGGTCCCAGCTGCAACCGCTGCAACCCTGGCAGTTCTCATGAAAATGCTAAGTATCTGCACTGGAACTCGAAAAGTATCTGTGCATCCCTAATTTAAAGTGACACTAAATTCAGGAGTTGAATCTTAAAAATTATCCAAGTACGTTAAGTATTTAAAAAAATGTATCTTACTTGTGTATCACGCGGCTGCAGATCCTTAAATCATCTCTGAATTGGTGCTGACACTGTCCTTCCTTCTGGAGGGTGACTACTTTTGTTTTCCATGCCCCCAGTGTTTATTGTAAAGTAGCCACCGCTCCAAGCTCGCACCCGTGATGAACTACAATGTCATGTTTAGTTTACTAATTTCTACTAAAGTTGTTGACCATCATGGGAGTGAGCTGGGAGTGGTGGCCACATTACAACACACGCAGGGACCATGGGGAACAAAAGTAGCCACCCTCCAGAAGGAAGGGCAGCGTCAGCACCAATTCAGAGATGATTTGAAGATCTACAGCCGAGTGATACACAAATAAGATACATTTTTTTAATACTTAAGGTACTTGACTGCATTTTTAAGATTTAACTCCTGAGTTTAGTGTCACTTTAATGTGCTTTATTATGCTTAAGTGACTTGACCCTATACTTGGTTATGACTTGCTAAGGAGGAATATCAGCACTGGGCAGCACAAATTCACATTTTCCCAGGTCCTGGCATATGTAGGTGTGAAGATGCTACAAAGAATGTTCTTTTCCTACAAAGATAGACATTTCCCTACAACTATAAGTGTTTTGGGGCTACTTTGCATACAAGTAGCATTCAGTGGAATTCAGGTCTAAGCATATAAGATTGTAGCTATATAAATTCAGAATATGTGGCATCTTAAAATATATATGAATACAGATTTATATATATATATATTTCTTTTTTCCTGCTAATTTTAATATATACAGTTCAAGCCTTGTAAAAATTAGGCCAGTCAGCAAAGTCTTTAGCAAACCAAAGTAACGAAGAAGTGTTTTGTTCTTAGTGTTTTGGTCTGGCACTTGTTACTTTTGAGGTAGAGCAAACACAGCTACAAACAATCCCACATAAATAGTGACTGTTGTAGTCTTATAAACACACAAATTACAGCTTAAAGTCTTCATCCACACACAGCTGAGAGAGCGTCTTCTTTATACGTAGGGCCGTCAGTCGAGCTTTGCCATTGGCGTACCAACATTCGCGCATTATCCGCCCCATCACGCGGAGGGCCTTTGGAGAAAAAAATATTTTTATTAAGCAAAATCATTGCATTTGTGTAGCAAACAACAAACACTGCTAATAAGTTGTTAAAGTCCAACTCTAGTCCAAGTTGTGGAGTTTTTTTAAAGTTATTGGTTAGACATCTTTATTGCTTTCCGTGACCCTGATTTTACATAGTATTTGAGGTTGAATAAAGACATAAGTCCATCAAGTCCAACCTATTGTGTGTGTGTGTGTGTATAGGTCCCTGAGTGTTCTCATTCTTAAGAGTACCTGTACCCTTGTACATTACGGTCTCTCAGGAAATCGTCCAAAAGCTTCTTGAATGATTCCAGACTATTTGCGGAAATCACTGCTTGAGGCAGCGAGTTCCAGACCCTAACCGCGCAAACTGAGAAGAACCCCTTGGCCCCTTGTGTTTGAATTTTTTTTCTACCAGCTTTAGGTGGTGGCCTCTGGTCTTTGTTACGGAATTAATCTTAAAGAGTTTGTTGCTAATGTTGCTATGACTATTAAACATTTTGTACATTAAATATATATAATTTCATGTATTTATTTTTTTCCTCTGCTGCAGCCTATAAAAAGCAAGACAAGAAATGGGGCAGGAATGATGACTAGAGATAAGCAGACTTCTGAAACACTGGATCAGTTGTGGTTCAGCCAAAATTATTCAAAAGTTTGCAGGTCTTTGAAAAATAAAAATTCCAAACCACTGAAGTCTACAGGAAAATGAACCAGGCCCCAAAATGTTATTTATTTATTTAGGTTAATATTTGATATAATATGTAAAAATAAAATGTAGGCTATTGGGTTATCATAGAAGGTGTAAGGTCATCATCACGTGACCATTATTTTAAGATCACCCAACAGCTTATACCCAATATTTTATATATTTTATACCGTCCGGGCGGGCTACACACATACAGATCCTCTGTAGTCTCCAGTTATGCTGCTCCACTCTCTTATGTTTGTAAGTGTATTTTACTACCAATCATTAATATATTTATATATTTTTACTGCATGCAGTCTTTGTGCTCTGTCTTCTGCTTTTATGTTTCCTGCAAAATTATGTAGATTGGTATAACTCCTTCCTCTGTGCTGCCAAACAGACTTATTTTGTCACTCTCATTAACACACTCTCATCCAGATTACGTCAACTCTTTTCTACTTTTAACTCTCTACTTTTACCCCACAGCCACCAACCGCTAACTCACTCACTGCCCAGGACATTGCCATTCATTTCAAAAACAAAATATATACAATTCGGGATCAGATCGCCACTGCCCATATTAGATAGCCAGAGCCAGCTGTCACTCACGCAGCTGGGTGGATCCAGAGAGTAATGTCGGGATCCGTCCCGGCTGCGGCGTCTCAGTATACCGTGAGCTGTAGCTCGCGGTATACTGAGCTTTGATTGACGGGAGGACGCTAGTTTGTGTCCTCCTATTACCCTTAGGAGAACTATGGGGAAAAGCCCTGACCCCATAGTTCTCCTTTAACTCTGAAATTCTGCTTTGACTCGGAATATCCAAAATAATGAAATTTAGTCCAAATCTAACCATTCCTCATTCTGTCCAAAACCAAAAAAAAAAATCTTATCTGGAGTTTGGATTTAAAGTAAAACTCACGTTTTGCTGAGGAAACTGTAAACACTGCACAATTGTTTATTTTCTTTATTAGGAAAAGGACTACCAACACAATCAGTGTCATGGTGATCTATGAAGGTAGAGAAACTTGCTCTAGAATTAGCGCCTTTTAGAATTATTGCAATGAAAGTTAAGATGTGTATTTGAATACAGAAATAAAATACCTCAAAGCTTTGCCACTGGTTTGGAATGTTGGGTCGAAGTTTCTGCTCACAAACAACCTTTTTCATGTCGTCCAATGATGGATCAGAAGGCACCATATCATAGTAAGGCAACTGGTATTCATCCACAACACCTGACAGAAATTAAAATACATATCAGAGCTCATTTTTTATTTAGTTTACAGCCCTCCAATGGTGGGAATTATGCAGTTATGCTAAATCCAGGAAAACACTGCATTTTGGAACAGAGCCTTAAATCAGGCTGGACTTAAGCCAGGAGCTTCTTCTGTCTTACATAATATGTACATACACCAAGCTAAAGTTATTAAACTAAAACATATCAATGTGACTTATGTTCAGAAACTATGTTCCGTGCACCAGCTGCTGGAGGAAGGATGATGCTGAAACTAGAGGCTGTGGAAGAAAGAGGGTTTGGTCCTGCCCAAGTTGCAGGCACCACATCCTGCTACATTACCATTCTTGTTTCATCTAAAACCAAATTTTGTTGATGCTAGAGTGGCCATAAGAGGCTCAGTTATGGGCATTTTACTACAGTCTGGTTTATTTAAAAATAATATTTATATGCATAATCTCATCAATGGAAGGATATAGCGCTTCTTAAACTCTCTGAATACACCCACATCCTAAATGAAAAATTAAACATGGAATTTCTACTTTATTTTAATATGGCTGAAGATATCCGCTTTACTTGGAACTGCTGAGTGGCATAATGAGGTTCACTACAATTTAAGTGCCTAATTGAATAGGTTGCCCCTCTTCTCCCCAAGTTTTCTTCCATGCATAGTGCATAGCCAAATGTGTTTGGCTTTGGTCTCTAAGCCAACAACCAAGCTTTATTGAAACACTATGGTTTTAAATACTACCTTAAAATACTACCTTAACTCTTATAATAGATTTCCTACCCCTGTTGTTAGTATCAACCATCGTAATTCTTTCTCTTGTTATGTCTGCTAGACATGTAAGCTGCGGAAAAGTTTGGTTCGGTTCGGATATTTCGTTCCGGGATTTGGATCCGAAATTCAATTCAGTTCGGGTTTCAGATTTGGACGTAATCCGAATGTTCGCTAGTTTCGGATGAGTTTACAAATTCGTTGCAAATACCACAGAAAACCATATACAGATATAAATACTAAAGCTGAATCTCCTAGACCCGAATGGCATTCGGGATCTGAATTTCTCAATTGCATTCGGGAGCTCCCGAATGCCATTCGGGTCTGGGAGCCTCAGCTTTAGTAATATACAGTATGTATATGGCTCACAGACCCAAATGGCATTCGGGAGCTCCCGAATGCAATTCAGAAATTCGGATCCCGAATGGCATTCGGTTCTAGGAGCCTCAGCTTTAGTATTATAGGTATATACTGTATATGGCTTCCATGTTACCGTAACGAAAAAAGATTTCAGAGCCATTTGGATGCATTAAACCGAAAAACACCACTGATTGGTCAGAAAAGTCAAATGTCCAATTCAGTTTATATCCGATTCAACAAAATGAATCGCACATGTCTAATGTCTGATGTGTTCTCCTGTTTCTTTTTTAGGTCCATCTGAGTTCTGTGTGCAGCTATGCTTCATCTGCATTAAAACAATAGCTGGCCAGGACTAAACCAGGGAAATAAAATCATCATGCAATAATTGTTTCATTAATTAAGCTATGCTATCATCAACATGATGCAGTGAATGGGGAGGGCTCACACACAAAACATTTTAGGTTCTCAGTTTCTGGCTGCTTATTAGCTGTTCTCCCGTTGCAAGTAAAGGAAGCAATCCACATGTACCAGATAGTTTTAATGATTTCTCCAGCTTCTTATTTTAAAACAACATTTTGCTTTTTCATTAGACCAAAGTCCTTTATTAATGGGGAACACTCTATCCTGTTACGCCAGGGACTGAGGGCCGCAATGCGTATATACAGCAATAAAACAGAAATGTCCATTTGCCATCAGTTAACAGTACAATAAAATTATGTGACATCCTAAGCTGACAGGTCAAGGGTCTGTTTTTATGTCTGTTTATTAGAGTAGGCAGTATCACAAATTGTTTTTATGAGCAGCACAAGAAATAACAGGAACAAGCTAATAAAAACAATAAAGACAATTCTACTTTATTAAAATAATAGATCCTTACCGCCCACAGTGCATCTCCGGGCGATTTCCCAGTACACGAGGCCCAGGGAGTAGATGTCTGCACATTTGAATGACTCAAAATGATACATATTTATTGAATCATCCAATAGTTCTGGGGCCATGTACCTATTGAAGCAAGACAAGCACAATGAGAAGAGGAAACAAGCTTATTGTATGAATAAAGGCTAAAAGCGTCTCTGATTGCCTGGTTACATTACCAATCAAGACTTCCGGTTAGCTGATAATGTAACAACATCTCTTTTCTCACAATTATATATCTACATATGTTTCTATCCAGATGAATTTGACGCATACTTACTACTCTTCATGACATGTTAGCAAGAGGGCACTCTGCAGGTTACATCTAGTTACCATGTTTCCAGCTCCTAGCTAAGGTCCCATATAGTGATCTGTTGCTATCTAAGCTTCCTATAGTGACCTGTTGCTAGCAAATCTTCCGCATAATGCTAGCTATGGTCCTATATAGTGACATGTCGCTAGCTAAGGTCCTGTATAATGTAATAGTGACCTATTGCTAGCTAAGGTCCCGTATGGTAACTTGTTGCTTGCTAAAGTCTTGTGTAGTAACCTGGTGGTAGATTATAAACTTTTTTATAGAGTGACCTGCTGCTAGGTACGGTTTTATATAGTGACTTATTGCTAGGTAGTATTGAAAAATTCACCCGCAATCCAAAGTCAAATGTGCTGAATGCCCTTTTATTAAGACGCTAGGCAAACATCGTGACACAGTACAATAAGCAACCATTCAGGACCTAACATGGTCCCTTCATCAGGCAAACACACATTGTGTTTGTCTGATGAAGGGACCATGTTCCGTTCCGAAAGGTTGCTTATTGCACTGTGTAACTAGTGTCTTAATAAGAGGGAGTTCAGCATATTTGACCTCTGAGTGCTGGTGACCTTTTCAATATTCCTGTGATTTGCGTGGTGCCATCCATAGGTCATACCAGCACTCACTTATTTTATGGGATTCCGGTCTGGAATGCGGTGGATCGATTACTACACGTGCTTCTATTATAATGATCTAATGGTAGATAAGGTTTCATATAATAACCTGTTGATAGATAAGGTCCTGCATTATGAAATGTTGCTAGCTTATGTTCCATATAGTGTCCTGTTGCTATAAAAGGTCCCAGTATAGTGAGCTGCTGCTAACCAAGCTCTCGTTTAGTGATTTGCTGCTGTCTAAAGTCCTGTATAATTACCTGATAAAGACGACAGGTCACCAGCACTCAGATAATTTAAATAGATATGTCCTTTTTATTGGACAATCGTGTCACGACAATCAACAAAGCAAAGCCGACGTTTAAGGACCGCGCAGGGTCCCTTCTTCAAGGCAGAAAGATGTGTTGGTCACATCTTTCTGCCTTGAAGAAGGGACCCTGCGCGGTCCCGAAACGTCGGCTTTGTTGATTGTCGTGACACGATTGTTCAATACAAAGCACATATCTATTTAAATTATCTGAGTGCTGGTGACCTGTCGTCTTTATCTCGTATTTTGCACGGTGCCATCCGTGGTCATTACTACAAGCACCATTGTTCTTATTGGCCGGCTGTAAGGTGTGCGGAGAGCACCCCACCAACTGAAAACTGTATAATTACCTGGTGCTAGCTAAAGTCTTATACAGTGACATTTTTTTTAGCTAAGGACCCATATGGTGAATTGATTCCAGCTAGAGTTCCATATTGTGAACTGATGTTAGCTAAGACATAGTAGTCTGTTACTAGCAAAGGTCCAAGGTCTCATATAATGATTTGCTGCAAGCTAATGTGCTCTCTACAGTAACTTGTTGCCAGCTAAGGTCTGAATAGTGACAATGGCTACTCTTAATAAGACTTTTTTAATAGAATAAGGAAAGATTATGTAGTCCTGGTTGATGGTCCCCTTTAATTCACAGCTGCTCAGCCCGGGCATTCCAGCAGCATGTGCTTGTCTTCCCTTGCCATGATAGGACACTGTGATGGGTAGAGTGTAAACACAGGGATTCTGAGTAGCAGGTATCAGAAGTCGGAATATGTAACCTCTCCATCAAACCCGAGGGAAGCAAACTGTAGAGTAAGGGGAGACACAAGCAGCAGGGGCAGTAAGAGACTGTGAGGGGGCAGATAAGCCTATGCTAGCTACATGGGGAGCACAGCAGAGGGAACGTTTGGCTGCATTGAGCTGTAGTGAGTGCTGTTTGAGAGAAGAGCTGCAGGCAGCCCAGAGAGAAGGGGCCCCACAAGATTTGTAATGTGCTATGCTGCCCAGAGACTGCTGAGAGTAGTGCTGTACCATGACTGTGCTCTGAAGGAGCTGCTGACAGAGCTGCAGAGACCAAACCAGAGAAAGAACTACAATCTGTCGTCCTATGGAGAGGACCAAGCGTGCCAGAGGGAGAAGGCAGCAGACCCAGATGATGCTAGCCTAAGAGGGGAGCCCCAAGTGTGTTGTGTGACCTTTTGCCTGGTCTTCAGAGGACTGACCAAGACCTGCACTTGTGGTGGGAGGTCTCTTGGACACCAGCTTTTATTCTAACTTTGCTGCCCTTGCTGTCTCATGGAGACACCACGCAAGGCATAGGAGTAATAATCTTCCCCAAAGAAAGAGAATCCAACAGGAGTCCCCAGGCTCCAGCACCGCAGACTGTGCCCAATCTTCCTCTGGCCAGTGACATAGATAGGGCATTGAATTTTAAAAAGGCCACCCGGTGAGTTTCTTATAACTTGTTATAAAAAAAAACTTGAGTTTGTGTTAGACATTGTCTTTGAGTTAACCTTGTGATTGGTTCACTATTATTTAGATTTTCCTATGCAGGGCTTATTTCCGATCCTAATAAACCTCCTGCTTGCCTTGCTACTGGTGTGCTACTTGGTGAGTTTGGATTCAGTTGAGGGTGGATCACCAATGGAATCAGCAGGAGGTCCCAACATCTCAGGAGCTCCCTAGGAAGTCAGTACTACAATTAGAACTACGGTACTGATGTTTTGTATGCTTTTAATGCATTTTCTAAAGAAAAAAAACAGGGATTTTGTAATTAAGTGTATTAAGTTTAAAGCTGATCTTTAGGCAAGCAGGTCATTACACAACTGACATACAGCACATACAGTATACATGAACTAACTTCCTGCCAATTTGGGATTGTGTTTATGACGGTCCAATTGTATTTTTAGTTCACGTATCGTGTAGATACCCCCATTGTATAGTGACAGTCTTAGGACCTAGCATCTTGCAGACAGTGGAATCTTTGTGGGTGGCTTAGATACTCTCATAACCTCAACTGCAAAACATACTGACAGCTCAGTTCATACACAGTCAGGTGTAGATGTGGTTTTGGTAAGAGATGTTTCTAAAAAACATGTCACATATGTTTAACACAGAAACACGTCAATGTTGGTTTTGTTTGTAAGTTAGCTCTTAGGGGGTTATCTCTTTATCTGATGTGTTGCTAAAAATGTTAAATGCAGTAGATATAAATAAATAGCTGAGCGCTAAATTTTAACATTTGATTTCGATATTTAAGATTGACATAAAACTTGAATTAACATTCTCACAAGCCTGAATCTGCACCACAGGAGCCTGTAGGTACACGGCCTTTGGCATTCAAAGCTCCATTCTTTGCTAGGATCACCTCTTTGCTAGGATCACCTCTACCTCTAGAAAGGTTAGTTCTTTACTTGACCCTCATGGCTATGTAATGGGGTCTAATAGCAAAGTTATTAAGCAAACCCTGGTCTCTCTAATCTCCATCTGGGCCCCCCTGTGTTTCTGGGCCCCAAGCACTCACATGGTCTTCCAGGGCTATAGCTACAAACTTGGGTCCCAACCTGATTTATATTTATTTCTATTTATAAACAATTCACAGGTCCCTTAGACCTGCAAATATCTGTCAACGTTCATTTTGTGCGAATAATGACAAAAACATGTAGTGTTATGATGTGTCACCTGCACTCCTTACAGCAATTGGACCTTGATAAGTGGTCGTGGTGCTCGTAGTGATTACACGGATGGCACAGTGTTTTCCAAAATCGTAAAGACGGAGATCACCAGCACTCAGTCGATAGCATTCAATTATTTTGCTTATTTATTGAAGAAACATGCCACAAGTGCGAATTAGCCAACGTTTATGGGCCACGCAGGGACCCTTCTTCAAGGTTACTATGTTGCCATTAAGAAGGGACCCTGCGTGGCCATGAAACGGTGGCTAATTGATGCTTATGACATTTTTCTTCAATTAATAAGCAAAAGAATTGAATGCTTTCGACTGAGTGCTCATGATCTCCATATTTACGATAATGACAAAAACAAACATTCTTTTTATGTTTTCTTTTCAAGTCGAATGTCGGGTGATGTAACACTACATTATGGCCACTCGATGGATCTGAGGGGCACAGAGAATAAATACTTATTTACTAAGTATTGAATCAACAACAGACAGGAACATGGATAAGTTCCCCACGAGACTCCTGATCAGTATCACCGGGACCAAATCCACCATCTGAGATTTAGTCAGATTTGCAGACATTGCCTCTGTAGGTGAAAATTGGTATCACAACCTGTCATTCAAAAACACAGTCCTTATCAGGAACCCTGTACTAAAAAAAATGTGTAGGATGATATTGCTGACCTCCTTCTCAAAATGCAAACTACATGCCTCTCTCTGGGTTAAAAACTGTATGTCTCCTACCTGGAACAAGCACCCAGCAAGTGATGTGATAGTGAAGTCAAAACCATGGATGCGCATACTTATTTTAGGCCAGTGACTAAGGAAATACTGTACCCATTGGAACAGCATGACAGATTGCTAGAAATTGCAGAAGGAGAAGCTAGCATATGTGTTAACTACATAATATATTCAAAGTGTATGCAAAGCCAGAAAGTTTTTCTAAGATTTGGATAAAAGAAGGGTTAGAACTACTGTCAGTTGTATTGCTTTCTGCGTCCCTGCTAGGGAGATTCTCCCCTCAATACATCCTCATAGCCATTATCACTGGGACTGAAGTGAGGGGAAATCCTACATTTTCAGTTATCACAGGAACAGGGAAAACTTCCAATAGCAAGGACACTTGTTTGCGGTGAGAACAACTATCTTAGAAGACATTTGCCTATGGGCATCTTCAATAAGTACATTTACAAACGTCTAGATGGATCTGGTTATTAGGAGTGGGATAGAACTTATGGAAATTCACTATAGAAATACAGATTTCTTTTTCTTTTTTGAACATAGATACCCTTTAAGTCTCGGGGTAGAGGAACAAGCTGTAATAATTACCTTAGCTCCTGGTACTCATTGTCACCAAGAAGAAGAACTCTTCCAATAGGGACACCTGTTCTGTGAAAAACTGTGTAATAGGGGAATTTCCCTTACTTTGGACTTTCCTCTAACCTTCTGTTCTATTTCTAGAACAGGAAGTAATAGTAAATTTCCAAAATCGTGCACAGACAGCAAAGAATAAACTGACAAGGGTTCTAACCCTTCCCTACTGTACCCCCCAAAAATGTTTTGGCTATACCAACACTTTAAGTGACTACAAAATGACTTAAAAACTGTGAAAAATGGAATGTCAGTGAGGGGTCAACACTTAGTGGCAGATATTGTGACACAAGTTATTCACCTGGTTCTACCCGCCCTGTGTAAGGGATACAGTCTGACAATAGATTTGTCCTTACCTTTTTGTCCCAACTCTTGGATTTTGTGGAATGTCTATGGTGTTAGCTATTGAGTCATGTTTTACTGCCAGCCCCAAATCTGCAATGGCGCACGTGTCATTCTTCTTCACTAAAATATTTTTAGACTTGAGATCCCGGTGTGCAATCGCTGGTTTACCTAAACCAACAAACAGGGATCATTAAGTAACAATGATGCAGGACTGCTTAAAATATAAAGTATCAACACTCCTGGCCACCAATCGGAATGGGCCTCATTTTTCAAGGTGCCTGAAATTCCACTTGTAGCTTTGAAAATGCAAGGAAACATATGATCTGTGCTTGACTTAGGATTATTTTTATTAGACACATTGACAAATTGAGCCTACTATCTGTCGGTGTGACAAGCTTGTGGTGACAATTTCTTCAGACTAACATGTTCATAAAAATTTCATACAAATTTACAGATTGAAAACAAGTTGATAAAAAAAAAATCAAAAACAGTTAACTCATTACCTAGAAAAGAAGGGCATGAATGTTAAGTCCTATTCACAAAAGTGAGAAATCATAATCTATATTAGGGATCAGCTCCGAGTTTGGGCCAAACACAGGTTCAGACCGAACTTTGCTGTTCAGGCATTTGTCTGAACACCGAATATCTACTCCATTCAGTGGGGAAGCCAACAGCATATATAATAACAGTATTTCTATTGCTATTATATGACAGCTTCCTGCTGTCATTAGGTGCTAAAAAGGTAAGAATCCCCAGCTATGTAAGCAAAGGGGCAGGGGTAGTGGGTCTGACAATCCCTAGCCTAATAGCCAAGAAAATGGCCATTATTGGTTTTACAGATTTGCCTCCCATTGTTTTCAGTGAGGTTCAGATTCGGCATTTGAACCTGAAGTTTTCTGAACCCACCCCTAAACTGAACACAGGTATGTTCAGCTCATCCCCAATCTTCATACTTCCCTTTATACATCCCTAGTCTTTTTCATACTAACATGCATATATTACATGCATACTCCAGGTCACTGACTTAAAGTATTAAAGCTGGAGGGTCAGCATGCCATCCAGACAGCTTATGCTGAAGTCATACTGAATAATTATCAACAATGTCCATTCACAAACCAGTACACAAAGCTTGTAGCTGCTCGCCACCTGCTGACTGCCAATGGTATGTATGAAATAGTTATACACACAGAAGAAAGGCTGGACACACTGGATTCCGTTGGGGGGTAGTTTATTGAAACTTGTACCACAGCACTGGTGTCCCATCCAAGGTCTGCCCCCTCTAATGCATCAGAGGGGGCAGACCCTGGGCGGGGCACAAGTTTCAATAAACCATCCCAGTGGAATCCAGTGTGTGGCCAGCTTTTCTTTTGTTTGTATGGGCTCATTTAGGAGCGAGGACGTTTTCCCAGCATCAAGCACCCGGCTTATTCCTTCCCTGAGCCGTGGGGAAGCGGTGCATCTTTTGTGTGTTCTCCTTGCATATGAAATATTCATATGCACTATTTCACATTAACCTGAATAAAACATGAACTTGGTAAATAAATATGTAACATAATACAATACACTCCCTTGATTACAGCATCTGAATGCTTGCCATGTATTATTGTACCGTGCACTGTACCATAGCTCCTCAGCTCTATCTCACTGGGGAAAAAACAGCAGTTTTTCCTTTTTAGTTTTGGCATATTCACATCCAACATAAAACAAGGGGACGTACCTCTAGTGCCAACTATTTCCATGTGAAGGTGAGCCAGCCCACTGACAATGGATAGCGCCAATTTCATCACTCCGCCAATGGTCACTGTTGTCCGGTTGAGATAATCGTACAGGGAGCCTTGTTCCTGATATTCTGAAATCAGCCAGAGCTGAGTCCAAGTGCCATTATCTGTAGGGAACAAAGAACAGGCTTATACACTACTTTACATTCCAATGCTGCAGCAGAGTCTAGGAGCCAGCCGGCTTCAAGGTTCTTTTTAGCATAACTTTTTATTTTACACCCTAGATGAAAAAGATCACTTCACTCTGGAAAACAATAATATATTTTTTTTAAATTCTTTTTATTAAAGATTTTTATAGGTAGAAAACAATTATTCTTAAGTCTTGCACTGGGGCAACCTCCCAGCACTGAAAGGGTTCCGAATTATTTTTCCTGGAGTTCTTCTTTAAATCTCACCAGCAGTGACACCAACATTAATAAAAGCTTGACAAAGGACCTCACCCTTTCCCACTCTATCTAAAAGTTAAAAAAAAAAAATGTCTTTGCAAACACTTTAACAAAAATTGTTTAATTCAAGCAGATATGGAAAAAATGTAACCTTTATTGTCGGCAGCTATGAAGCCAAGAATATTTTCATGTCTTAGCATGACCGTCTGGTAGATTTCTGCTTCCCGAAACCAGGATCTCTCATCTCGAGAGGAGAAGATTTTTACAGCGACGTCCTCTCCACACCACTTTCCTTTCCAAACTTCTCCAAAACGGCCTTTGCCAACCAATTCTTGGATGATGACGGTTCTGGCAATGGTCCTCTGGACAAGCAGAGGCAACCCTACAAAAGAAAGAGGAAACGGTCACACAACGGAGGTGCTTGAGCTAAAAAATATAAAATTGGTAGGATGATATTATTTAGTTGTGACCACCATATTGAGGTGCCAGGAGAAGAAACCCACACAACTACAACTACAAATATAATTTCTGAAAACAAACAATTTGTAGAATAAT